TGTGCATGATGCTGCTGCGACACATGCGTGATGATACATTTTACAAGAGGTTCTTGTTAGCAGTAACGCCGCATTCATGCTGACCCACATGTCAGGAGAGTCTTGCACTGTCCAGAAAGGCGTGGCGAGATATTTGCCTTTTGAAATTTGTGCCGTTCCGTTGCATGTTGTTCCTAGTAGCTTCTTGCTCCTAGTAGTAAGGCCAGGAGCCCCTAGTAGCGTCCTGTTGCATGAACTCAAAACAAGGCCAGATCAGTTGACGCATCATTTGACAGGCCTCACTGGGCCCTTCTCTGTACCAAGAGGCTTTGAGATTTGCGGGAGTGAGCAAGAGATAAACACAGGGAGAACCACATGAGAACAAACAGATATATAGTCAAAAAGGCATGTGTCTAAACATACTATAAAACCATTGTTGGCCAGAAACATCTTCCAAGATCTCCTTAATAGCGTTTAGCTATTAGTAGTAGGCCCTTAAAGCTACTAGTAGCGATGCCAGGAAAGACTTCTGAAAGAGCCCTTGTTACTACGTAGTAGCTTCTAGTAAGGCCGGGTGCTACTAGTAGCGTCCTTGCTACGATCCGCGAGGCGTTAGATCCTGAGGATTACGAGACGCGCTCTGACCGGGACCTGCAGGAGGCGGGATGGGCGAAGGGAATCAGGGCGAGTAGGCCCCTTGAAGAAGCTCGCATTATTCATGTGGTTCCGGGATTTTTTAGGGAAACTTAAGTACATGTACTAGTAGCGGTGGCCTCCAACCTACTAGGCACCCATTCCAAGCAACCGTGACAACAATGGATGCATGAGCATAAGTTCAAGATTCTTAAATTTAGCGATGCCATCCGCTGATTCCGCTGCCGAATGTTGCTAAGACCATTGCTGGCAAAGAGGGGGGCTGTTTTGAGCATGGATTTCTACAGCACGGTTTTTCAATTTCGGGTCTCCGAATGAAACATGTCCAACCACTATGGGCTGTTGAGCTCCAAATGGCTGATGGCTGTTCTTTCTGTCCTGAACTCCAACTTTGAGCCATTCTCACTGGGGCACATCCAAGCGGTTTTTCTTCTTGTGCCTTTCGGACCTGTCAACGCCCTGTCGACCCGGGCGGTGAAGGCCCCAAGACCCGGTGTCCTTCGCTTCTCGAGGTGGAAGACGATTGACTCAGCCGTTGCTGTTGACGCGGGTGAAACTGGCCCGCAACTCTGGCTCTCAAAAGCGGTTCTCGAGGATGCCATAACCCACTGTTCCTGAGGGCCACTGCTGTTAGTTTATCAACCAAAAGCTTGTGTAGTAGAAGGGTTCTTCGTGCTTCATCCATTTCAATGGAGTGAATAGTGCTGCTTTGATTTTCAAATAGCTAGACAAATGAACCAGGTGCTGGCCTTGGGTTTAACATGGATGCTGCTTCAAGATTCACCTTGGAGTTTATCTTGAAGAATTGACCACTCCACAGAAGCTTCACATGATAGGCTTTCACAGTGAGGAGACCAATACTCATACCAATCCTACCTCTCCAAGGGTACTTTGACGTGCAAATGAAGGGTGACCCTTTGACTTGTGAAGGACTTTAGATGTGAGTTGAAGGCCGGAGTGTGTAAGGGTTGCAGGAATTTGCTGCAAATTGTTTGAACTGAGCAATCTGCTAAAGACTCGGGATGATTCTTTTTGTTCAAAGCAGTTTCCAAAGCTGATGTTGAAAGAGTTCCTGTTGAGGTGATTAGCTTAGAAGCTTCACATGTTCCGTCTTCGTCGCCCAAAATCCCAAGAATTGGGACTTGCAAAATGCGAGGGGCCGACCCACCGCGCCGTCACGCCGAAAAATGGGGGCCGCAGGGCGGCCATGGATGGTGGGTGTCTTTCCCGCTCTTCCGTCATGGAAAAGGAACTCAACCTTAGCGTCCTTGCTACTACTGGCGATGCCAGGAGCCCCTAGTAGCGTCCTTGCTACTAGTAGGGATGCACCTGGCTACTAGTAGCAAGAAGCTACTAGTAAGAGCGTCGGTCTGGCTCCGGCTCTGGAAGATTCAGCGCAGAAGATTCGGTTGGTACAGTGCATCTCCAGATCTCTCCAGATCTTGTCTGAATCAAAGTGAACCAACTTCCAACCAGCCTAAGAACCAACAAACATCCTTCACCGTATCGACCATCCGCCTCACTGCCATGTGGGAAGCGGGCGATTTCACGGCGGAGGAATGGACAACCATCCAGTAGCTGGGCAAAATGATGTTTGGCAGAGTCCCAAGGAAGCTTCTTGTTACTAGTAGCTTCAAAGACCTACTAGTAGGTGAATGGATTCCCAGTTCGATCGTGCTTTGAAAACCTCTCAACTTTCGATGTTTGCCTTCTAATCTCCCAACTTTCTGTAGCACATGGAAAGAACAAGTTCACTGTTTCCGGTTGATTGAGCGTGCCAGATCCGCATCCCATTTACGAATTTGGAGTCCGGCAAAGTTCGATGAAGCTTCGACTTCGACTGTCGCCGCGAGACCCACACGCGGCTCCCTTCTATTCCCCTCTCAAACTATGGGAGTCTCGGCTCAGTGGGTGACTACTGCTGGGACTCCCAAAGCCACATCACGGTTCCCCATGTTGCATCACCCAGACTTGATGAACAAAGTTGAACCCACACTCAATGGTCCTATGCTCAATGATGTTTCCTTTGTTTATTTTTAGCCCGCTCCCATGATTTGGTTCCTGGATTTCTAGGGAAACTTAACTTGATTCTCAATGGTCCTATTCTCCAGCTCGAATCCTGAGTTCCTCCAACCCGGTTTTGCTCAATCCACGGTGTGACACCAAGTGGGTCCTTGTGCGATCCAAGGACGCAGCTGGACACGCTGAAAGTGTTCGCTCAGGACAGCGAGAAGTCCGGGCGTGAGTGGAGCCAGAGCCCTGGTGGGACCTCAGATCGCTACTAACAAGAAGCATACTAGGAACAAAGGGCATCGCTACTAGGAGCAAAGGGCATCGCTACTAGGAGCAAGGACTCTACTAGGGGCTCCTGGCCTTACTACTAGGAACAAGAAGCTACTAGTAACAAAGGGCATCGCTAGTAGGTTGGAGGCATTACTACTAGTAGCTATAAGTCAAGCTTGGTTGAAGCATGTTAGATGTGTGCGCGTGTTTGGGGCATGTTTCCTACACAAGAGAGAGAGAGAGAGGCCCTTTGCATCCTTGATGATCTTGCAGGATGTTTTGCCTCGTTCTTGGTTGTATGTCAGCGCACTTGGTGTTGTCAAGCCACTATTGCCCATGGTTTTAACCCCAAATGTAGAAACCCTTTCCTACAGCAAGGGGACTAAGTGAGATCGCTACGACAGAAGTTTCCTACCAACATTTTCCTATCAGCTTCCTTCACCCTTCGACAAAGGCAACAGATAAAAGAAAGCAAATTGAGACCCGCTTTCGATGACGAAGAAGCTACCAGGAGCAAAGGGCATCGCAACTAGGAGCAAGAACGCCACTAGGGGCAAAGGGATGTAATTCTTTTGGACCCGCTTTCGCCCGATGACGAATGAGGTTTGATCACCTTGGAGACCTTAGAATTCCTGGCCTCCTTGCCGGAGAGCGTGAGGGAGAGACTTGCGGCGCAGAAGCTCGAAGCTCAGTGGGTCAGGTGAAGACGTTCCGGGTCGTGGAACGACAGCATAAAAGCACACTGCATAAGGCATAACAAATGAAGAAATGCTTTCAAATATATTGCTTTGATATCCGGAGTCGGTGATCATGATTAAGCAATGCTCGTGCCAATCGACTGGTCCACTACTCAGAACTCTTAAGTTCGCAAGACAGGACATACAATCTTCGCTTCGAAGCGTTTGCACAGCCTGGGTCCAGATGGCCCAGGTACTACAACTTCTCGGTGGAGTCGCCAGCCCCGCGTGGCCCTGCGGGCACGAAGAAGACAAAGATCATTTCAGCTGACCTGGACACCTTCAAGGAGGGCAACTGAGGGCAAATGAGAAGTCGTTGAGTGTTTTTGTTTGCTCGCTGCTTAGCTACTAGCTAGGACGCAGGATAGCTCACGCTTCAAAGGAAGGAAGCGCACTACTGATGTGGTGTCTAAATTTCTTAGCAAACTCAACTTGCTGTGTGAGGAATTGTATGTGTTGTGTGTGTGCTCATAGCATGTGTGTAGGTAGCTTTGTCTTTGAGGTGTTCTTGGGAGTCTTGGGAGAAAGGATTGTTTAAAACCATCCAAGCCTGAATGTAAGGGTTTGGAATTTGTTTGTTGAACTGTGCAGGGATGTGGAACGGGTTCCAGGTACTCAGCAAATCAGAGATGTTCGGCGTGTTTGTTGCCTTCACATGTGAATCTCCAAAGCACAGACCACGCGAATGTTTTTCATCATTTTTCGTGTCTTCCTGAAAGTCCTTTTGGCCCTTTCTTCCAGGCCGGGCAGATCTTGGGCCACGCGAAATCCAAGCCGGTGCTCATCAACTTTGCCAACGAGTGCCTTCGGAGTGGAAGAGTCGTTTCTGAGTGCCAAAGGGCGGAGACCGGACAGGAGACACGAGGACGTTCTTGTGCTTCTGTGTTTTCTCGTTGGAAAAGAGGAGATGCAGAGGAACCGCAAGGCGGACGCATGTATCTTTTTCCAGCTCAAAGAAATCCAAAGCACTATACAAGATGTACAAGTGTTGCGGTTCAAAGCTGAAACAACAAAAGTAGCCCAGATTGATTACACCGATTCCACTCCATTTCTGTTGATGGGTTCCCACTTCCATTTGATTGAATTCAGAAGAAGAGGTGAACAGGATGGAGAGAAAAACTGCCACGTTTTGACCTTTTGTAGCGGTGTCACAGTTTGCGGGTTCTCAGGTGGGATGCAGGTGGTGGTTGGCTCAGCGGCATGTGGGGTGCTCAAGAGGAGAACTGCTGTGCCGTTTTCTTGAAAGTATTGTGAACAAGCAACGGGTCAGCTGGGTCATACTAGAGATACTAGGTCATTTTTTGACGGACCATGGATGGAAGACTCATGCCAATTGCTCAAGTAGGCGCCTGCTTGATGAAGTAGGAGTGGGTTGAAGAAAGAAAGGAAGGAAGAACTTCCGAACCTTATTTTTGTCCAAAAAAGCTTCGTCGCAGGAGTGCTTGATGCGACGAAGTTCGCTGTATTTGTCTCTGTGGCCCTTGCGGCGACCGGACGACGAGCTTTGGAGACGCTCTCCGCCCAACCGAGGCGACCGGTGTTCGGAACCAATATGGAAAGTGTGTATATATACACTGTATTTTGAACGGGAGGTTTCAGGTGATGTTTGGATTCCTTAGCAGAAAGCCTGAAGTATTGTGTTTGGATTCTTTTCTTGCTTGCCTTGGCGATTGTTCTGTCCAGAAGATCCTTGTCAACCCATTGAAAGACACCCAGCTGACACTCAGCACCAACCTGGAAAAAAGATCACTCAAGAACCACCCACCACCAGGACCATCCGGCACCTGGATCCCGGATTTGGATCACAAGCGGCCCGTGGCCTATCGCCAGCTGGGCTTCGGCGAGGGCGGCGAGCGGGTGATCCTGCCGCACCTGGAAGAGCGCCACTTGGAGCGGATGAGACGTGTTTGGTCGCTCGAAAAAGACATGTTTTTGACCCTGTTGACAGTCATGTTGAGTCTTTTTTCAGTCAGGAAGCTTCTAGCAGCAAGAACCTACTAGGTGGAGGCCATCGCTATTGGGTTGGAGGCCATCGCTACTAGCAACAAGAAGCTACCAATAGCATGTTCAGTCATCATGTCCCTTTTTCGGTGGGTTGACCATTTGGTGCCCAATTTTCCAGGTCCAGGTGACGATCAGACAGACCTTCGTGGGAATGAAGAGGCCATGAAGATCCTCAAGAGGCGGGGTTTTGCCGTTTTGGCTTGTCAGGGCAACCGTTCAAGGCACGTTTTACAGAGGGAAGGTTGGAGACAAATCCAGAATCCTGTGAGAAGTTCGATTAGCAAACACCATGCGTCGCACTGGCTCACTCCAAGCATTAGCGCCAATTTCATGAACGCACAGAGTTGCCGCTGCTTTTGTGTTCCAGGGTGGACGTGCCGCGCGCCTACACCAATGACAAAGATGGATTTCCATTATCAGAGGCCGGTGTGGTCTACACGCCCAGCCTCTTGGTCTTCCGCTCACCGGACACCTTGTCTCCCGATGGCAAGATCACAGGCTCGCCCGACTTGACTCGAAAGTCCCCGCATCCACGTCCATCATCCTCGCCCCATCTTCCCTCACCTTGATTTTCTAGCTTCTTGCTCCTAGTAGCGATGCTCTTTGTTACTAGTAGCGATGGCCTCCACCGAGCATAGCGTCCATAAGTTCTTGTCGAATGCATTTCTTCTTGTGAGGCAGCAAAGCATATCCGCCTTGGACCACTTCTCTCCTGTCGGTGGCCGCCTTGGACCTCCGACCGGAGCGTGGCAATCAAGGGGCGGTCTACGGCTTCTCGGTCAAAAAACACGGGCTACCTATGGCGATCCGGAATGAAAAAAGACTTGCTACAGTTACCGAGCACTCGTTGAACAAGAGTGCGACTTCTTGTTTGCCAAGTTCCTTCATGTTTGCCCTTTGGGGCTGATAGAACTCGAAGACTCCGAACAAAAGGCCGAACATGCAAGATGTCTTCACTTAGCTGTTTTGAGATCGGTCTCAGACGGCCCTTCGTCCTTCTCTCAGGTTACAGCGTTGGGAGCACCAGTCCGAGCGAGCCGTATTTAGAGGTCACCAGAGAGAAGATGCGCTCAGTGCTCTACGCCGCAGTGCAAGGACAATACGGTAGCGAACATCGGTAAAAGTAGCGAAGATTGGCAAACGAAGCTGCAAGATTCCTTGAGTAAAAAGAACTGCCGACCGATAGCTCAGCAACGGTATTGGGGGTTGATCTTCCTTCACTGTTGGTGATTGATCAAGATGTAGCTGTTTCAAACATAAGGGCAACATCGCTTTGCAGGTCAATTCTTGTATTTTGTTTTTGCAGGATGCATCTGAATCAATCTGAGGAACAGATATCTATTGGATCTGGATTTCTACAGCAATATACAACATTTGAGATGCTCATGTCTACTCATGTGACTCATGTGCATTTTTTGAGCGTCGATCATATCGCTTTCCAGGAGGTCATGATTCCATTGTCTTGGGAGCTTTGGGCTGCGGTGTCTTCGCAAATTCACCGGAGGCTAGGTGGACTCGGGCCATGTGAGGTCGGAGGGATAGACTTGGGAGCATCTAAGACAACTATAGATATGCTCTAGAGTACTCCATAGCTGTACTCGGCTAATTCGTCGGTTCACCCGGAGCACAAACAGAAGACCTGTGGGCCCTGGTGATTGATTTGAAGTGCCCTGCAAAGAACATGTTCTCTTGTGCTCCGCGGCGCGGTGACGGTACAGTGATGGTGCAGGTGATTGCGATGGAGTGGCGCAAGTTGCTGGAGCCAGGTACGGCGGTACCATTGCGACTGTTGGAATAGAAATACCCCCAAAGACGTAAACACCCAATAAGAGCTTAGAACAGAGCGGGTAAACTGTCCATTTGGACTGCTGAAGGCGAGCAAGCCAGCCTAGGATCCACTTTGACCTTGTTGTGGCGCTTCTAGTCTCGGTCAAACGAATTCCCGGTGTTCTCGTCCACGTTTCATTTGCCAGATGACACACAACTGCTCCAATGGATCCAATTGGACCGGGTTTCAGAAGCCTGAAAGTCGTAGAACAACTTCCAGAAGAGGAACACAACAGATGACGGGGTGAAGCCAGCTTCAGAACTGACTTTGATCTCTCAAACATCGGAGAACCTCGCGATGAATTGCACCCGAGTTCTGACCCAGTTCCACCCACATTCACGAAAAATCCGTGCAATGGCAACATGTCGGGTCCCAACGAACCCATGATGGCAATCTGCGCAATATGCATGGTGTACAAAAAGTGCAAATTGGTCCACCAGCAAAGTCACGTGTTGCAAACCTTTTGGCATGTCGATGCCGGGCGTGTGATGGCCTCCAACCTAATAGCGATGGCCCTCCAACCCATTTTCTGAAAAATTCTGCCTCGGATTCTGAGACGCCATCGCTTTTCCTGATGCACGTGAGTTTTCCCGTTTGGTTCAACGGTCTTTCGTCGCTCCAGGTGGTGAGTTCGGAAACTCCTTCAGCGTCGTGGTTTTCGCGATTACCTTCAGCACCAAGAACTTCCGTGCCTTTGCAGCGCCTCGATTTCAGACAGGAGCAAGGACGCTGCGAGGAGCTCCTGGCCATACTACTAACAAGAAGCTATTAGAAATAAGAAATAGACAAGAATTGAGTTTGATTAGAATTCAATTAGAATCAAAACAAGAAGCTACTAGGTTCCTCCGTGTTCTTTGGCATCGATCGCCGGAAAGTGAGGTCTAAACCCCGAAATCCGGTTCGGTGGAACCACGTTGGCCGAATTCGGTTTGGTCCCGGATCAACAATTCAAACATTCTTGTTATTAGTAGTGAACATTGTTACTACTAGTAAGGTACTTGTTACTAGTAGCGATGCACTTGTTCCTAGTAGGTTCTTTTTTTGGTCTTTTTGAACTGCAAGATGGTTTTCCTCGGGACAAGGCAAGAGCTAATCAAGCTCCTCCAGGTTGCTTTCGCTGAAAGGTCTCCCACCTTTTCGGCTTCTGCCTGTCGACGTGAACAGGAAGGAGTCGTGTTTGGTGTTGCTCAGGAAGTCTTTGGTGAACTTGGGCCATGCATTGGAGATGGTTCTGGAAAGGCAGACCATGAAGCTGAATTCACGGCACATTTGAGGGCGTAAGGTCCTTGGCTGGAAAGATACAAAGATTTGTACGTAAATGCCTCATTACAAAAAAATAAAAATGAACTCTTCAAATCAAGTTATACTTAATGCAATTGATATTAATATATATTATATATCATCGTAATTTATCGTTTTTTTTTGATAAAGTACTATTAGTTTATAAATGTCGTAAAATTGAAAATATATTATTTGTAAGCTAAGGTTTCAGAAGGTATTTTTGACAAGGTTTTGTTTGGGGGACTTCGTTTCTGCTCTTCTTTATTTAATTAAGTGGATATTTATTTAATGAAGTTAGGAAGTAAGTTATTAAATTAAATTCGTTTTTAATAAAGACGTAGAGAAAACAAGGTGAGTCCGCGGACCTAAAAGCAAAAAGAAATGCATAACCTAGGAAAAATAAATAAGCACAAATTAATAGGCTAATACGAAGCATTAGTCCCTTCTAACTATGATATTTCAAGCATCGCGGATTATGAGGTATTTTCCCTCCCTAGTCCCGTCCCTAACCATGCGTTTCTCGTTTCGCTCCTTTCTATCTTCCCTCCCTAGCCCCGTCTATTTATGCGCTTCTCGTCTCGCTTTTCCCGTCTCGCTTCTTTTTATCTTCCTTCCCTAATCCCGTCTCTATCCACTCTATCTTCTCATCCCTACCCATGCCCCTGCTGTCTCGCTCCCCTCTATCTTCCTATCCCTAACCCCGTTCTTACCCGTGCGCCTCCCGTCTCGTCTCCATCTATGCGTCCCTCTATATTCTCGTCCCTATCCATGCCCCTCATGCGCTTCCCGTCTCGCTCCCCTCTTTTCCTTCCCCTCCCTTCCTTCCCCTTCCTTCCTTTCCTTCCTTTCCTTCTCCTCCCTTCTTTCCCCTCCCTCTTCGTTCCTTTCTTTCTTCCCTTCGTAACCCTATCTATCTCCACCTCCATCTTCCTCGCTCCCGGCATTGTAATTAAACGAAAACCCAAGCATCGGAGATGTTTTTGGGAAAAAATTGTTTATTTTTTTTTTTACGATTTATTTGTTTCCGTATTTCTTTATTGTTAGTGTTGGATTTTTACGCTGGTTTATTGCGAGGTTGATAGCGTTTGAGAAGGGATAATTACGGTGATTGTCGAAATAAAATGTTTAATTATTAAGAAAACTATTGAAAAATATAAAAAGAAAGGATGATTTAGAAAAGAAATACTAAGGATAAAAATATTGACAAAATATATTATTGTTTTTAATACGATTTTTTATTGGATTTTATGTATATAGGATTGCCTTTTTTATATAATATGAATTGATGGATGGAGAAGATGTTGAGCAGCAATATAAATAGGGATGATTTTATTAATAGTATATACATAATTATGGGAGGTGGCTTGGAGGACAATGGAAGATTGGATTTTGAGGAGTTGGGATATTATGTTTTTTGAAGGGAATATGTTTTAGGGTATTGGGTATTGAAAAAGGATGGATGAGGAGGACGATAAAAGAAAATAAATGAAACATCATAAAAGCGACGGACAAAAGGACATGTAAAATTGATAAAAGGCTAGGAGATTATAGAAAAAAAAATAATAATTAACTCGAGTGATGCAATGAACACCTTAATTTCGAATGATGAAATTATTTGAAATGCATAAAACCAAGCGATCAAAGAGGATGATTGGGCCCAAACCATGCATTGGGCCCAAGTGTTGATGCATTTGACTTCTCTATATAAAGGATGATATATATAAGTCGAGCAAAAGCGGGCACTGAAGTTGGAGGATCCTAATCCTTCCAAGGTTGAATTCGAATTAAGAAATGAGTTCCCAATATATATGGGATCAAGGAAAAATTAAATATAGGTGTAGCTTTTAGTGGCCATAATATAATGGTTTGCGAGAAAAAAAAAGAAACAAAAATGTTCGAGACGGTTGTTAATTCATTACCCATTAGGACGAAGGTTCCCAAAATCATTAGCAATTGGTTGATGTTAGTTATCTAGGATGTAATTAATGATGAGGCCCTCTTTTCGTTAATAGTTGGAGATTGTGAGTGAAGTTTCAACTTTCCGTGACCGGTGCAATAGGAATGGATTCTTAATTTTCAATATTATTTTTTATTTTTTATCTTAAAAAAATATATAATCAATAGGATTTGCAGCATCTTGTTTACACCTATAAATGCAAAATTGACATTATATATATTATAATAATGCTGTCGTTCAACTGCATTTAACATGCTATTGCCCAATTGTATTTGAAAAGGTAAAAAATCATTGAAAATTAAAAGTCCGATTTGCCTCCACTAAGAACTAAGGCATTGAATTGCGAATGTATGAATTGTGTATGTGGTCATTATTGCTATTCTTGTTCCCGGTTGTAAGGTCAACAAATTGGATGTTGAAATTGTTTTTGCCTGGATATCGTGTTGTATTTTTTGGAAAAACTAATCACGTGCAAGTCCCAATGAAAAAATATTTCCCCACTTTGCAAATTCCTTCTTAAAGGCAGAGGACGAACAGCGTCAACTGAAAGTGCAACCCTCTGCGGAGATCGTGCGTGTCGAGTGCTCGAAATGCAGGTGAGAGTGCGATTTGTTTCGGCAGAGTTGCTGGGGAGCTGAAAGTGCAGAACTGGTGAGAGGGTTACACAAACCCCATCCTGAGCTAGTAGGATCTCCCAACCAACAAAATGATTTTCTGAGTGGCTTGTCTAACCTTGTGTCCCGCAAAGGGCAATGCCCCATGTGTCAATGCAAACGCCTTGACCTCCATGAATGGAGTGAATACACATCAACAGACGGCTGACGCTGCACCCTCAGATGTCCCACCACCGGCCAAAAAGGAACGACCCACAGATTCCTGTCGAATGTTCGGGTGTGTTTCCTGGACGTTTGAGCTGCATGCATTGCAAGGCCCGCGTCACCATGGCGTTTGCACTTGAGAATCATTTTGATCGAGGCGCCGGTCCTGTTGACCTCCACTCTGGTGAGCGACTCAGTTGTTGCAGCCAAAAGAGGAACGGCCGAGCCTGTCCTAGTGATGGGCGCATCTGCTGAACCCATGGAACAGACAGGAGGAAATCGAAGTTGCTACTGATAGTGAGTACAACTTTAGCACGCAAAGAACCTGGCGATGTCAAACGCCACACACAGAGATCCACAGACTGCCTTAACTCACTCGACTTGGCACTTCACTCTGACACTCAACGGACAACTCCCACTGGGACTTCCTGTCGTATGCCAAATACAGTTAAATATCAAATCTGCAATACGAAAAACAGAAGATGTTGAAAGTGTCAATGTCTAGGAGTCTAAGTGCAAGTGTTGAAGTGTCAGTGTTCAAGGATTTTCCGGGAAACTTTTCGCATTGATTTCGGGAAAAGTGATTGACCAAAGAAGTAAAAAAAATTTTGTCGGGTGCTGATTGTGCATTTGTTTGCCAGTCGCTGCGCTTTGTGATGGTGGGGCTGCTTTGGTTATTAATTCTTCTTGATATATTGGTCCAATCGTCGTAATAAACAAAAAAAAATATTAGCGGAACAATAAATATAATAATGAAGCTCCATTATCGTATAGAAAATAAACTTCCAGGGAGCTTCCACGCAATTCCTCTATTGTTTACACAGTGATATACATCTCCAATTGCGACATCATTCTTTTTATCGCATCTTTATCTATGGTTTTCTAACCACATATGGATATGGACCTATATTTTTGAGTTCGAAGATTAAGCGCATGATTAATAATTACTTTAGAAGATTTGTGTTGGAATAGTGGGAGTGAGATAGTTTTGTCAAGTGGCTTGTGAATGTTTGTCCAACAAAAACAGCGAAGCATTCGACGGGCCGGAGGAGATTTAGATTGATCTTGAAGCATCCGGAGCTTCCGAGAGTGCTTTGAGGTGTGCTCTCTCCAAGGTGGCACCAGATCTAGTTTCCGTTCCTGTAAAGTCATTTTGTGGGCTACAACAAAATGATTAAACGTTGATGAAGCAGATGTATAGCTTGTTCAATGCCCTGAAAATCAAGATTTTTTTTCATCGATAAATTTTACAAAAAAAGTGTCCGTGTAAAAATCAACCTGTCCTCGCGCGCCGCCCCAAATAGAGGTGGGCCGCGATCGCAAACGCCGCCATGGCTGTGAGTTCGTGCCTGCTCATGGCTCTGGCATGGACTTGTAGATTCCTCAATTCAGCCGCCAGAACAAAATCCATTCGATGCTGCTCAGGTGCCAGCAAAAAGCTCACGATGCACATCAGACATCGTTTATTCATCGTTTCATTCTTTACCAAGAACTGTGTGCCGAACTGGCTGCCCGATGTGCATCAAAGTGCTTTCAAGCTGTGAAAACCAAGCAGGCAACGGATCAGTCAGTGCCCTTACAACTTTCCTGGCCTGCCACACGTGCAGTGATGGAAGCAAGCGGGTTGCATACAACTCGATTAGAGGCCAAGTCAGCACCTTCCTGCAGAAAGTTTTTAATTTTTTTGTTATTTCTGGCGGCTGATTGACGACTTGGCTTGTGGTATCGACAAAACAAAGCAAGGTGTTTCCAAGACGTGAAAAGCCAAGCAGGCAACCGATCTGGAAGCAAGGGTTGCGTACAACTGGAGTGGAGGTTTGATTGGAAAACCAAGCCTTGCATAAGTTAGTCAATGCTCTTTCAAGCTGAAGAAACAATTGTGGGTCATGGACAGTGCTCCAATGCAAGAGCTGCCTGGCCTTCCAACAGAATCCCTGCCACCGTGGAGGGTTCTGCTTTGTGTCCTGTCAAATACGTTGACGGTCAAAAAGGACGATCGCTTTGATTTCGGAATTGCCCAAGTCAATGGATGATGATGGGGCAAGAAGGCCAAAGTTGAACACCACCCAAGGTGGACAGTCTCCCGACACTGTTCCTGCTCTCTGCATCCACTCCGCTGCCGACTCAGAGCACCATTCGACCTTGGCAGGCCTTGAGACATCCAGTGCAAGCATCCATTGCTCAGACCTATCAGCTGGACCTTGTTCGCAAAGTCGGGCTCATTTTCTTAAGGCGGTGACCCCAGAACAGGGCCTGGCTAAGGGCCTTCAGAAC